GGCGGCTGGAGGTTCTGGGTGGGTTTGCGAGATGGAGGTGTCTGAGAGGTTTGGAAGCCTGCCTGCCCCTGGCCCCTTTTATACCCTGCTGAGCAGCTGTTGTCACCACAAGCAGCACTCTTCCCTGTTGTTGCCTGTTTTTGTTTGTTTTGATAAACAGGCAATTATGTAATTATGGAAGTGCATTTTCCTGCTGAAATTTTCATGGTGGAGGCAGAGCATCATTTCCTTTTCCTACTGTGTTAGAATTCATATGTCCTTCTTAATACACTTCTAATCCTTTTTCTTGCTTCCTTAAAGACAGGTGTCATGTGACATTCTGCCTCTCAGTACTGAATCACTGCTCAGTCTTAGTGTCCCAGCACATGCTGTGCTCCATGGCTAATAATATTCCTTATGCGTCCATAACACTTTAGGAGCGCAGAGAAAAGTAAAACTCACGTCACCTAATGACTCCTTCAGTATGGGCCATGTTACCAAAGAAAGTTTGTGTGTGAAACACAGACCCCTGGGCCGAGAACAGGGTCATGAGAACATGTCCTGTTCATGCTATGAGTCGTAACTTGCTTCTGCATCTCTGAATGGAATACACAGAACTCTTGTACACCGGAAACATCAATGGTAAATGTTGATGGCTTCTTGCTAGAAACAAACTTCCAGACCTGCTTCATACGGCCCAGAGGTTGCTGGCTGCAGAGACCACGTAGCCTATGAGGTCCAAGTGCCTCAACTGTACTTTGGGGAAAGCCTTTCCTTGCAAACTTGACCTCTGGCCGTTGTGGCTTTAACAGGCCATATCGACCCCAGTCCTGGGTCCGAGACTCTTTGATTCCCTTGCCAACCCGAGTTACACACCAGTGGGCCCTGGCTCCTTGCCGTGACTCTCACCCTGCAAGGGCTAGGCCGCCAGCACACAGACTGGCAGCACAGGGGCTGCGGCAGCTGGGGCGGCCGCAGGTGATCTGCAGCAGATGTATGCTGAGTTGTGCTCTGAAGAGGCACGTCGCTCTCTCATCGTGACTCAAGCTGCTGAGCAGATTCCACTCGGTAGTTCCTTTTTCCAGGAAATACATGAAGACACCCAAGAAAATCAGGGAGGAAAAGGAAAAAGAATGGGAAACAGAGATGCAGATCCAATAAATCAGCTTACGCTTATTCGCAGTGAGGGTGGAACCAACGGAAAGGGGACAAATGCGGCCTCCAACTCCCCAGGTAAGTGTGGTTTTCAAGAGCAAGGAAAGCTGCCGGTCCACCACGCGGTGCGCCACGTGCAGAAACCGACAAGGTGGCGTCTCAGAGTTTCCAGTACGCGCGAGGTTCCTGGCAGGCTGGGTCATTCTAAGGAGCAGTCTCTGTCCTTGGAGGGACCTCATTCTACGTACTCCTCCTAAATTCTACTCGAAGTCTGGAGAAGCAGAATTGATGACTCTCCTCCAGACAAAACTCCCAAATTATCTGAAGTCTTTCTAGGCTGCACATCAGTTACACAGAGTAGCAGTTGGAACGCAACTTTGTTACGTTCTTGTTTTTTTTAATTGTTTTCTTTTTGAACTATTTTTTTTCTGCCTTTTTACAATGCCATGAGATAAAGGGACTCAGTCAACTGTAGGAAATTTGAATAAACTGACTCAACTGACATTTGCAAACACCATCTGGGAACTATATTTTATCTCTGCAGTAACCTGAACAACATGATAGAATATCCTCCAAAGAAGAGCACGCAAAGCAAAAGGCCTTTATTTTAGATACCACTTATGTTACCGCACAATCATATTTTTAAATAAACCTTGCTAAGAATTATATCTGTAATTAAAATGAACTACCATTAGATGAATCACAATGTTGTAGTTGTATCATAATTAAGTAAAGACAGCTACTATCACCATCTTAAATTGATTAGAAAATTTAACATATTTAAAATTAAATTATGTGACTTTGGAATAGAAACCAAGATCTATTAGATCCTTAAAGATATGTATATATTATATATATATATGTATATATTTGTGTGTTTGCATAAGTGTGTAGTTGTACTAGAAACAAACCCAGCACCTTCACACTGAACTATAACCCCAGCCTTGTTTATTCTTTTATTTTGAGATAGGATCTCTCTAACTGTCCTAGGCTGGTCTTGAACTCATGGTGCTCTTGCCTCCATCTCCCAGAGTGCCGGGCTGAGGTTACTGCCATGCACCACCACGCCAACTTTTTAACAGCATTACCAGTCTTGATGTGATGTGGTATATGCGATCACAGCAATATATTTAAAATATGGCAAGAGAACTGTCTGCCTATCATTACTGATAGGTAAACATCATCTTTTTAAAAATTGTCATTCATTGCCTATGTAAACATCTCTTTTAGGCTTTAAGAAAACTTTTTAACTCCTATGAATTTTTAAAAATCCTTTGTTATTATGAAGAATACACATATGCTGAAAGCATATAAAGTACACATGTGCAACCCCACGAATATTTATTCAGCAAGGTCCCATGCACCCGAAGCTTGGGTCTGAAAGAGAATGTACCATCACCACAAAGGGCTTCTGTGTGTCATCTCTTGACCCCGTCTCTCTCCATCCACCAGGGAAAATCACTACCATGATTTTACGTAGTCTTTTTTATTGCTTTTCTTTACACTTTACCCACATAGACAAGCATTTCTAAGTAAAAACTGTATAGTCTCACTAGTGTAAGAACCTGAAAGAGTGAATAAAAATTAGGAGGTACAATAGATATTGCGAAAGGGAAGAAAACTGCTCAAAAAGGAAAGAAGAACTGGGATGAGGGAAAAGAGAAAAGAAAGAAAAAAGGGAAAAAATATGTATATATGTATACACAGGGTTGCTAAGATAGTTGTACTACTGATTTCTATTGCTTTATTAAAAGGAACAGTTAATATTCAATTGTTTGATTAATCTTATATGCTGATGTTTGTTTATCTGAGTAATCAATTTGAAGATATTAATATGTAATACACCAACCATTGTTAATTTCCTATCACCTTGTCTGAAATTCTGTATTACTTATACTGTTTTGTGTTATTTTGTTTATACATTTTTGTTCTTTTATCTTTAAAACAAAAAAAGAACAGAGTTTAGTTTTATGTGATTTTAAATTTTACATAAATAAAATCTTGGCATATGTGATTTGGTGTTTTTATTCCTTTGGTCATCATTATGTAGTAGCTGAGACTGGCATCCTCTAAGAGACCCGATTATTCCCTATTTTTTGTGATTATAATTGCAATGCTTTCAATACAGAAGTGTTCCCCAAGGCTCCGTGTGTTAAAGGTTGGGTACCCAGGCTGGTGGTATGGGGTGTATGGACCTTTAAGAGGAGGAACTTCATGGGAAGTCCATATATCATTGGATGTTTGCTCTGCAAAGGATTATGGGACCCCAGACACTCTGTCTCTTCCTCTTCCTGGCTGGTGATGTCAGCAGTTGGCTCTAACATACTTTCTTTCCAGAAACTAAATAAAGCCTTGGCCCAGTTCAACCTCGTGGTCCGTCCACTAGGCCCATAGACACACCTGGTCATCCTTTACCCACTGGAGAAATTTAAAATCCAACACAGTTTTTTCTTGAGCCATGGGACTAAGAAATCTTATATGGAAAAGTCCATTTGAAGTCCCTGGAGCTACTAACCCTCCCCACCGTCCACCAGGTAAACTGGTAAATAATAGAGATTAGTGCTGCCTTCAAATAATTTTTTAAAAATACAAGAGAAAATCCATTCACATTGCTGTATATTTCACTAGTTCAGCCCCCAGAAAACCCAGATGTGTCAAAATGTATAATAGTGGACAATCACAAGGACTACCAAATAGCAGATCCAATTTTGGCTGGGGTGATGGATGTGGAATGTTAGCTAGTCTAGGTTAACAGTTTCCAGTAAGAGATGTATAGAAACTAAACTGGAAAATGGAGTTGGTGACAAAGTCAAGAAGGGAGAAGAGCACCCAGGGAACAGGGTTCCCAGGGTGTGGGTTCACAGGGAACCCACAGCAGTTCCAGGACAGATTCACTGACTTCCCCGGGGCTATGAGAGTTCTTCTGCTCTTTGTCATAATATGGTCCAGAAGGAAACTCTACACAGTGTCCACCAAGATGCTGATGATATCATGTTAGTCAGACCCAATGAAAGACAAAGATGAATGCTATGGCGATCTAAGCAAACACGTTAATCCAGCAGATGGGTGATAAATTTACAAGATCCCGAAGCCTGCCATATTGGTACTATGTTCAAAAATACCGTCTAAAAAACAGCAGGACATCCTGTGTTCAATATCTGGCCTGGCAGTGACAGACCAACACAAAGCCCCTCATCAGCTACCACCCCTTGAGGATATTGGTCCATCATTTCTTTTGACCTAGGTCAATATTTAGTCTCAGGAAGCACATGACTCTCCTCCATCTGCCACGCCCCAGTCTGTGCCGTGCAGTGGGACATATTAGTCAGATTTGCATTCACTGCTTGGAGGAAAGACCTCACACCCACAGTTTATAGATTTATTTGAGTGCACAATTTTAGTCCATGGTCAGCTTGCCTAGAGGTGGGAAGGTCGTTTTGGAAGGGCATGGGTGGCTGATCTCAGGGAAACACTACCCTAGGCGGCCCTGAGTGAATAGAGTACCGGGGTTCTCTTCTTTAACAAAAGTTTTCTTAGCAATTTTTCCCTTTTTCACCCTTGAGGCTGAGCTAGGCGGGGTCTGGCCATTTTCTGAGAAGCCCTCAAAGCATCTTTCCTCTTCCCTGTGGCAAAGTACTTGGCTTCTTTAATGACACTAATGCCTTCAACAGCCATTCTCCTTGGCCCCACTTTAGAGGCATTTTTTTTCCGGTCAGCTGACTTTATCTGTAATCTTTCAGCTCTGGCTTTCGCTGCTCATTCTCACTGTAAAAGAAGTCAGCAGGGTAAGCCACAGCATGCACTTCGGGCTGCCTTGAACTTTCCTCCCCCAGCTGAATTACTACTTTGCCTTCCACCTCAGCCTCACGCAGTGTGGTAGGGCACGGTCAAAATGCAGCAACTTCTGTCCCAGCACTGTCTTCGTTCTCATCTGAAGCCTCAGGAACAGCACATTTACCATTCATTTTGCCAGTCAACAGGCTCATCTTCCGCACTCCCGCTATAATTGCCCAACACACTTTGCTCACAGCCTTCCAAGTTTTCTCCAGCCCAGTTCTCCAAACTTTGTAAACTCCTCCCCCAAAGCATTTTCAAAGGCTGCTAAAGCACATGCCAGGTGAAGTCCTAGCAATGACTGTATCATTCACATGCTCACTTCTCAGTCCCAATAAGAGAAATAAGAGGATGGGGTGGATGGCAGAGTTCCTGCCCAGAATCTCTCCTACCCTGTAGTTCCCCATTCTCCAGTTACCACAGGTGCACACAGGGCTCACAGCGTGTCCCTGTTCCACTCTCCAGCTAACTATCCTCAGCTATAGGGGCCCCTTCCTATGGCACACTCCACCCTAACTGTTCCCTCCCCTCCTGCCCAGGGAGGCCTGCAGCTAGTGATAATTGATCAGTAGTGCAAGTGTGAAGCCACCTCAGCTCCTGGAGGTGGCAAACTGAGGTGTCACTCTCACTTGAGAGTCCCCAGGAGGTCACATAAGATAGAATTCATGGAAACTGAATTACTCTAACATTTATGTGCCTTCTTCCACATTTCTCCCAAGAGTTTTTCTCTATTAACTTTCATGCAAAAATTCCTCGTAGGTATCTGTTTTTACTGAATCCAACTTACCACACATTTCTTAGAATGACACCTCCTAGAGCACAGCTCCTTCAACACACAGCCTAGGGGAGTAAACTTTAAATACAGTGCCTGTAGGGAGAGGGTGACTGACATGGTACGGTCCTACTGCCCAGATCCTTAAAATAATTCAACATAACCTCCCTAAAACAGCTGTGCAAATACTGGAAAATAAAGTGGAAGATTTACCAGTTCAATGGACGGCAAACCCACCTGAGCCCTGACATCAAGGGAGCAATGCATATCATGTGGAAATGTGTGGGAGGCCACCAGAATCGAGACTAGGAACACCGACGTCACAGACTGGGTGTCCTCTGGAGCAACCACACAAGGGGATTTGAACACAAGTGCTTCACTTGGAAAACGATCTCAGGAAGCACTAGAGGGGACTGGGAAAACATTACAGGTCAGAGAGGGAAGTGAGTGCTAGTGACAGCATGGAAGCAACTTGCATGGAGGCAGGTGGGTTCCGGTCCCTCTGAGGAGCTCCAGAAGGCTGACGGGCACTCTGCCAAAGAAAGGCCATCAAGAGCCTTTGCTCATCCACTTGTTTCACTGAGTGAGCTCTGCTCTCCGGGGCTTTACTGTCCTGCCCAGGTCCTGAACTTTAACTAGAGAACATCCTCAGGCAAACTCAGTTGCTACTGGAAGAACCGCCCTCCTGTAGTAGATTAACCTGTGCACTGGGAACAAGCAAATGCAACTGAGATCATGTTCTGTGGTTCTGTCATCCTTTAGAGACGAACTATCCTAAAACTCCCATAGAAGGAAAATGATTTAAGAAGGAAAAATAATGACACATGATACCTTATATTGCTATGCTTTAATTTTTGGATTTATTAAAAATGAAGGAATGCCTCCATTGGAAAAAAATATGAGAACAAATATCTCCATAAAAGTGACATGGTAGTTACCCAATTTAAGAGAACAATCAAACTGTGTTCATTAGGGAGACAGATAGTAACGTTGGGTGAAGGGAGAGCATATCCGGAGGTCAAAAAATTCTCATTGGGTCAGAGGTTTTTACACTTGGACTCTCATGGTCAGCTCCAAGGTGAACTACATCAGGGATGGTTGTTGATGGAGAACAGGCGTGTGCATATCAGAGCCCTCAGCAGCAAGAAGCACTAGAACAGCTGGGGCGGCAGCAGGTGGTTTGGCAACAGGAGGGGCGGCAGCAGCTAGAGATGCAACAGCTGGGCCTGCAGCAGCTGGAAATACAGCAGCTGGGTCTGCAGCAAGTGGGCTGGCAACACACAGACTGGCAGCACTGGGGCCTGCAGCAGCTGGACACGCAGCAGCTGGGGCGGCAGCAGGTGGTCCTGCAGCACGTGGTCTGGAAACAGCTGGGCCGGCAGCAGCTGGACACGCAGCAGCTGGGGCGGCAGCAGATGGGCCTGCAACACGTGGTCTCACAGCACCTGGGCTGACAGCAGCTAGAGATGCAGCAGCTGGGTCTGCAGCAGCTGCTTTGGCAACACTGGGGCCTGCAGCAGGTGGAAATGCAACAGCTAGGCCTGCAGCAGGTGGGCTGGCAGCACACAGACTGGCAGACCTGGGGCCTGCAGCAGCTGGACACGCAGCAGCTGGGGCAGCAGCAGGTGGTCCTGCAGCACGTGGGCTGGCAGCAGCTGGGCCGGCAGCAGCTCTCCTGGCCACAGCCCTGCTCAGAGCAGACGGAGCCACAACAGGAGTTGACCATGGTGTCGGCGGCTGGAGGTTCTGGGTGGGTTTGCGAGATGGAGGTGTCTGAGAGGTTTGGAAGCTTCCCTGCCACGGGTCCCCTTTTATACCCTGACAAGTAGCTGTTGTCGCCACAAGAAGCTCTCTTCCCTGTTGTTGTTTATGTTAATAAACAGGCAATTATCTAATTAGGTAAGTATATTTCCCTGGTGAAATGTTCCCGGTGCGTGCAAAACATTATTTTCTTTTCCTCAAGTGTTAGGATTCATCCATCTTTTTTCCTGATCCACATCATAAATTTCTTCCTTTCTCAACTTCTTCCAAGACAGCTGTCACATGACACTCTGCTCCTTGGTACTGTATTATTCAGTCTCAGTCTACACAGCACAGGGTGTCTTCCCATGGCTGACAATGATTGTTGTACAACTGTAACGCTTCCTCTGTGCAGAGAAATATAAAACTGCATATTAGTCAAATGACTCCTTCATTATGGGTCATGTTGGCAAAGAAATTTCACATGTGAAATACAGACCTTGGATTGAAAGCAAGGTCATGAGAACATGTCCTTTTCATGCTATGAATCATAACTTGCTTCTCCACCTTTGGATGGAATACACAGAACTCTTGTACACTGGAAACATAAATGGTAAATGTTGATGGTTATTTTTGCTAGAAACAAATCTCCAAACCTGGTTCATGTGGCTCAGGGGAGCTGACTGTGGAGATCACATATGCTGTGAGGTTCAAGCGCCTCAACTCTCAATTTTGCAGAGAAGCCTGTCCTTGCAAACTTGGCCCCTGGCCATTGTGGTTTTAATGGCCATATGGACCAAGGTCCTGGGCCCAAGAATCCTTTGTTAGATGGCTGTGGGTCCTATACCTAACTGTTCCCTCTCTCTCTCTCTGTCTCTCTCTCTCTCTCTCTCTCTCTCTCTCTGTCTGTCTCTCTCTCTCTCTCTCTCTGCCTCTCTCTGTCTCTCTGCTCCTCTGTCTCTCTCTCCTTCTCTCTATCTCTGTCTCTCCTTCTCTTTCTCTGTCTCTCTCTCCCTCTCCCTCTCCCCCTCTCTCTCCCTCTGTCTCTCTCACTGTCTGTCCTTCTCTCTCTCTGTCTCCCTGTCTCCACTAAGCTCAGAAGATGTTGTGTATTTGCTCTCTCATCATGATTTAAGTGGTTCATCAGATTCCACTATTTAGATTTCCTTTTTCCCAAAATCACATTTAAAAGACAAAAGAAAATAAAAAAGAGAAAGAAAGCTAGAACACAGATATTCAGGTCAAGCACATCAGCTTACGCTTATTCACAGAAAGGATGGGATGAGCAGAAAGGGTGCAAAAGCGTCCCCCCATTGAATGTGTCTCTGAAAACAAGGGCACCTGCCAGCCTATCGCTTGTTCCTCTGAGTAAGAAGCAGGTGGAAGGAGCCTTAGTGGTGGCTCCATCATGACATCCTTAAACGTCTTCCTTAAGCGTATTTAATGACCAACTCCTTTAGCAATATTTTTACCATACTGATTAGTGAGACTAATTAGTGATGACTTCATTTGTTCACAGATATGTTTTTAAAGCTGATAAACAAAAACGATTTAAACCACTACCTGTCCTGAACAGGGAGATTTTCACTGGATTTGCTGCACAAAAGAGAGAAAAATATAGACACAGGGAAAGAAAGATATTTTTAGTATGGGGAGGGGTTGCTTGATAAGTTTAGGGAGTTTAAGAAAACCCTTCCACCTCTGCTACAGAGGCAGAGAGTATTCTCATTAGGGCCCCATGTGCAGATGTCACAGCTCCCAGCCCAGCGGTTCTCACAGCTGGCTCGTGGTGGACTCACCCGGGGAGCAATAAAAGTTGCCAGTGCCTGAGTTGAAATCACCACAACTCTGATTTAATTGGGCTAATGGAGGGCTTGGGGCTCAGAATATTTTAAACCTTCTGAGCCTCTCCCGGCAGGCTGCAAAGTCTGAGACACATCACTTTAATTCTTTTTTTTCTCTTTTTAAAAATATATTTTATGACCATGTGTGGTGGCACACACCTGTAATCCCAGCACTCAGGAGGCTGAGGCAGAAGGATCACCTTGAGTTTGAGGCCAGCCTGGGCTACAAAGTGAGTCCAAGGCCAGCCTGAACTGCATAGTAAAACCTTCTCTCAAAAAGACCAAAATAATTATTTTATTAGCACATACTTGTAATACATGAAGTTTACATTCATCTTAGGGAGTAGATACATATTCATATCACTTCTTGACTCTTTTTATTCATCTTTCCCTCCCTCCTTGTCTCTAGATCCCCTCCCCCCATTTTCACTGTTATGGTTATTATTATTTTTAGTTCATGTTGATGACACCGTGTTTACATTCAGTGTGAGAGTTTGGTACATGTACATGACACATCTTAAATCTTTTTTACTTCCCCTTCCTCTTCCTCCTCCCCTTGCCCTTGGTCTCTTGGACCCCCTCTTGTTTGCAAAAGATCTATCTTCATTTCCTCCTATCAGTCTTTCTGTTTTGCTTTATTTTAAAGAGAAAAGATAAAACAAAATTTCAAAACAAAATAATAGGAGAATAACAATAGCTAATACATTGAAGTGAGCCATGCCAGAGAAGAGCGATCCCTCCCATGGCCTCTCTGCTACCACAGGAACCCAGGTGGGCCATGCTGGCCCCTCCCCTCATGACTGCCAAGACCAAGGTGAACCACCCGGGAAGGCCCAGAGACCAGAGGGAATGCCAGCGACACAGTGGGGTCCCAGTTAGATGCACAGGATGGACAGGTGAGACTAGTGGTGTGAAAAATCCAAAGTAACGTTAACAATATGAGCCAACAGGTGACTGAGGAGGCCTCCAGATGGCAACCAGCTCAGGAAGAGTCCAGGACACATTGAGGGGCTCTTTTCTCTTATTTTTTTCTTTTCTCTTCTTTTTCTTCTTCATCTTGCCTTTTTCTTTCTTTCCTTTTCTCTCCTTTCTTTCTTTCTTTTACTCTTTTTTCTCTCTTTTCTAAATGGCTGGGGAGAACTCTGACCAAAGAAATCTAATCCCATCCCCCAAACTCAGAGACCAAGTTCAGATAATCCCTCAAACACTCCTTCATTCTATAGTTATATAACAGAACCAATTGTACATTAGAAGTTTTACGGAAAGTGTTTCCCCTTGATAGAGTGGTTTTACTCTGTGGTGGGGAAATTTAGGGAGGATGGTGTATAAAACAAAGATAACTGGGAAGGAAGTAGAAGCAAGGTTGGCAGACAAAGGATAATTATGCAAGGTTTGGGAAACTAGAGAAGAGGGCTGAAAAGCTCCATAAACACATGGAAATTAAACAACACGCTCCTGAACAACCAATGGATCACAGATGAAATTAAAGAGCAAATTAAACAATATCTACAGTCAAACAAAAATGCAGATACAACTTACCAGAACCTGTGGGACACAATGAAAGCAGTTTTAAGAGGGAAATTTATAGCAGTGAATTCCTACCTCAGGAAAACAAGTACAAATAAACAATCTTCTGTGGCACATCAAGCTTCTAGAAAAAGAAGAACAAGTAAAGCCCAAAAAAGGGAAGAAATTATAAAGATCCGAGCAGAAATTAACACAATGGACACCAAGAATACAATAAAAAGAATTAATGAATCAAAGAGCTGGTTCTTTAAAAGAACAAATAAAATTGGTAAACTCTAGCCAACCTTATCAAAAAGGAAAGAAAAAAAAAACTCAAATTCATGCAGTAAGGAATGAAAAGGGTGAAATCATTACAGATCCTGAGGAAATCCAGAAGATCAATACCTATCTTGAAAATCTTTACTTACATAGGATAGAAAATACAGAAGAAGTGGACAGATTCTTAGAAACACATGAATTACTAAAAGCTGAATCAAGAAGATATAAATTGAATAACACAATATCAGTTAATTAAATTGAAAACACAATTAAAAACTTACCAACAAAGAAAAGTCCAGGTCCTGATGGATTCATAGCTGAATTCTACATGAAATTTAGAGAAGATTTAATGCAAATATGCTTCACACTTTTTTAATGAATTTGAAAGTGAAGTAATTCTCCCTAAATCATTCCTGGAGGCAAGTATTATTCTGATACCAAAACCAGAAAAAAAGCCAACCAAAAAGAGAACTACAGGCCAATCTCCTTAATGACCATAGATGCAAAAATCCTCAATAAAATACTATGAATCAGAATGAAGCAAATCATCAAGAAGATTATATACCATGACCAAGTGGGATTCACCCCAGGAATGCAAGGATGGCTCAACATACACAAATCAGTAAACATAATACACCATATCAATAAAGCCAAAGTCAAAAATCACGTGATCATCTTAATACATGCAGAAAAAGCTTTTGATAAAGTCCAACACTCATTTATGATAAAAACCCTACAGAAAATTGGAATAGATGGTCTTTACCTCAATCTGATAAAAGCCACCTATGACAAACCAACAGCCAACATCATACTGAATGGATAAAAACGGAAACTTTTCACTCTAAAATCAGGAATAAGACAAGGACATCCACTATCACCACTCCTATTCAGTGTAGTTCTGAAAACACTAGCCAGAGTAATTAGACAAGAGAGAGAAATAAAAGGAATAAGGATAGGAAAAGAAGAAGTTAAACTATGATTATTCACAGATGACATGATACTCTCTACCAAAAGGCTTATAGATTTAATAACCAAATTTAGTAGCATAGCTGGATACAAAGTTAGCACTCAAAAATCTATAGCATTCCTGTACACAAACAACAAACAGAGAGAAATTAGGGAAACCACAACTTTCACAATAGCATCTAAAAAAATGAAATACACAGGATTCAATCTAACAAAGGTAATAAAAGAGCTATACATTGAAAATTACAGCACTCTGAAAAATGAGATTGAAGAAGATATCAGAAAATGGAAAGATAATCCTTGCTCATGGGTAGGAAAAGCCAACATGGTGAAGGTGTCCATACTCCCAAAACTGTTATACAGATTTAGTGCAATCCCGATCAAAATACCATTAGCATACCTCACAGATCTACAGAAAACATCTGTAAAATTCATTTGGAATCACAGGAGACCTAGAATAGCAAATGCAATCCTGGGCAACAAAGACAAAACAAGAGGCATCACAATCTCTGACTTGAAATTATACTACAAATCTACTGTGATAAAATCAACATGGTACTCACACACACACACACACACACACACACACACACACAAAACAGACCTGAGGATCAATGGAACAGACTAAAAGATGCAGACACAACTACAAACACACTCTGCCACCTTATCTTTGACAAAGGGGCCAAACATTCACTGGAAGAAAGACAGCCTCTTTAATAAACGGTACTGGAAAAACTGGCTCTCTACATGTCAAAGACTAAAATTAGGCCCATGTCTACCACCCTGCACTAAACTAAAAAAATGGGTAAAAGATCTAAATCTTAAAACAGAAACACTAAATCTACTGGAAGAGAAAGTAGGTAGAAATCTTGAAGATATAGGTTTAGGTAGAGATTTCATGAACAAAACCCAGACTGCACGGGAAATACTTCAAAGAATCAATAGCTAGGAGCTGATCTTATAGGACAGATTTGGGGAGAGTACCAGGAATTGAACTCAGGACCTTGCACTTGCTAGGCAGGTACTTGTACTGCTGAGCTATGTCCCTGGCCCTGGGATCTCATCTTGTTAAAAAGCTTTTTGCACAGCAAAAGAAATCACCAACGGAGTGAAAAGAAAGCCCACAGAATGAGAAAAACTTTAGCCAACTCGTCTTCAGTCAAAGGACCCCTATCTAGAACATATAAATAATTGAAAAAAATCAGGCTACCCAGATTCAAAGACCCAATCCAAAAATGGGCATCTGTGATGAATACACACTTCTCAGATGAAGAAATACAAATGGCAAGAGTATGAAAAAATGGTCAGCATCACTAGTAATTCAAGAGATGCATAATTAAAACAACACTGAGATCCCATCTCATCTCAGAAAGAATGGCTGTCATCAAGAAATCAACCAATAACAAATGCTGGAGGTCTGTGGGGAGAAAGGAACACTTCTCCACTGCTGGTGGGAATGCAGACTGGTGAGCCACTGTGGGAATCAGTCTGGAGATTCCTCAGTAAACTAGGATTAGAGGTCCCGTTCAATGCAGCTATTTCCCTCTGAGTATTTTCCCAGAAGAATTAAAAACATCATACAGCAGTGATTTATGTGCACCCATGTTTATAGCAGCACAATTTGTCATAACTAAATCTTGGAAACCATCCAAATGCCTATCAACTGAGGAATGGATAAAAAAGATGTGGTATTTTGTATAATGCAGTACTACTCAGCTGTAAAGAAGGATAAATTTGAAGGATAAATTACCTCTTATAGGTAAATGGATGCAACTAGAGACCATACTCATAAGTGAAATAAATCAGACTCACATGTGTAAACATCATATTGTTCCCTAGTGTAAGAAACAGAAAGTATAAATAAGATCCAAAATGTACAATAGATATTGTGAAAGGGAAAATAACTGCTCAAAAGAAAAGAACAATTGGGATGGATGAAATAAGAAAGGAAGGAAGGGAAAAATATATATATATATTACTATCTCATCTATCTATACATAACTATATATAACTATCTATCTATACAAAAGATAGATAGATAGATATACAAAATATAGATAAGATAGTTACACTATTAATTTGTTTTAGTTCATTGAAAAAATGGTTTGTGCTTATAAGGTTTGATCAATTATGCATGCCTATATCTTGTAATCTGAGCAACTACTTTGAAGATAACAAAACACAATATATTAACCATTGTTAATCTCCTATTACCTTGTTTTGAAATTCTATATCATTGTTTTTTATTCATTTTCTCTTTAAAATAAAAAAATACATTGCATATTGTTATGGTCAAAGTAGCTACTCAGAGTACAAAATATAGACATGAATTTGTCCAAACAATATTAGCACAAATCTTTCTTTTCAATGAACTGAGAGAAACGAATAGTATAACTATCTTAACTATCTTGCATTTTTTTCTTTTCTCTTCCTCCTTTTCTCCTTTCTCCCATCCCAGTTTCTCTTTCCTTTTGAATAGTTTCTTCCCATTTAACAATATCTGTTGCACATTTTGGACCTTATTTATTATTTCGGTTTGTAGGTAGTACATGTATTTGTAACAATTCCAAAACAAAGTAGCTAAAACGATAAAATATTATTGGTAGCATCTATATAATAAAGACAATTATCCTGAAATGGAAGCACTAAACTTTGAGCACTGTAGTGTCATATACTGGTTGCCCTCTGAAACAACCTTGCAAGGGGATTTGAACACAGGTAGGTCATTTGGGAAATTATCCCAGGAAGCAGCAGAGGATCCTGGGAAAATGATTCAGGTCAGAGATCAAAGTGAGTGCAAGTGACCTCATGTCACTTGTGCAAGACCTATGGGGACAGATGAGGTATATCCCATGGAGGAGCTCACAGAGACACCTTACCAAGGAAAGGTGATCAAGAGTATTTGTTTACACACTTGTTTCCCAGAGCGAGGTCTGCTAAGGGGACATTATTTTCATGCTCAGTACTTGATCATCAACTAGAGGAAATCTCCAGGCAGGTTTAAGTGCTGCTTTTTTTTTTTTTTTTTTTTTTTTTGCGGTACTGGGGATCGAACTCAAGACCTTGTGCTTGCCAGGCAGGCACTTGTGCCACTGAGCTATATCCACAGCCCTAAGTACTGCTTTAAGAACCATCCTCCAGGGAAAAAATAGGTATATTTATATACACAAGATGGCTAGGGTAATTGTACTACTAACTACTACTGGTTTGATGAAATGAACAGTTGATGTGTAATTGTTTGATCAATCTTACATGTCTGTATCTGGTTATCTGGGTAACCACTTCGAAGCTGTCTTATTTGTGCCTTTGCTTTTGTTACTTTTTGATATTTTCTCTTTAAAATTAAAAGAATATATAGATATACACACACACACACAAGGATAGCTGAGATAAGTATATTGCTGATGTCAGATAATGCTTAAATTTTTCCTTTTCTTTTTTCTCTTGACCAATTTTGCATACTTCTACTTGGTAATCAGAACAACTAATTTGAAGACAACAATATGCAATATAACCACAATTGCTGAATTCCTAGTATCTTGTTTAATGAAGCTTTGTATTATTTCTAGTGGCTTTTTTATACTTGTTATTGTCTTTAATTGTTTGATCAATCTTGCATTCTTACCTCTGGTAATCTGAAAATGGTATCTTCATTTAAGATACCAATATGTAATATAACAACCATGGTTTTCAAATCCTGTATTGTTTTTATATTCTTTTGTCTGTGTCTTCATTGTTGTTATATGTTGTTATTCATTTCTTCCTTTCTCTTTAAAGTTAAAAAGAACCTCTTCCAATGCTAAGTAGAGGTGTGCTGTAGGAACAGAGCAAATCCACCTGAAATCTTGTTCTATGGTCTTATTCTTACGGGATGTGCCACCCCAAGATGGCCATAGAAGGAGAACAATTCAAGGAGAAAAATAAGGACACTTGACACACTTGTATTTCTATGCTTCAGAATCTGGATTTATTAAAAATATTGGAGTATCTCCACTTCAGAAAATATGAGGTAGAACAAGCATTCCCATGATGGTTGAGAGATTTCAGAAAAAATTCAAACATACATTCATTTGTTAGAGATAATAACCTCAGGGGAGGAGAGAGTATATCTAAACGCCAAAGTCAATCCCATTTGGTCCTGGGTTCTAAACTTGGGCTCTTATGGTGAGGCCAAAATAAGCTACATCAGGAATGGCTGCTGAGGAAGAACACGAGCGTGGAGGTCAGAGAGCTCAGCAGCAAGAACCACTAGAGAAAACTGGGCGGCAGCAGGTGGTCAGGCAGCAGGAGGGGCGGCAGCAGCTAGAGATGCAGCAGCTGGGCCTGCAGCAGCTGGGCTGGCAGCACTGGGGCCTGCAACAGCTGGAGATGCAGCAAGAAGGTCTGCAGCAGGAGGTTTGGCAGCAGCTTGGACG